TCTGTGATTTATTTTCGGGAGTTTGACCACATCATCACCGACCCCCAGTGGCTTGCTGATTTCTTCAGCATCCTGATTACCGACGACCAGTTCCTCCCAAAAGGCGACCTTCTCCTGACCAAAGACCTGGACTTGTACATGACAAAGGGTGAACTGACTGACAAGTTGATCGACGGTCTTCTTAGTCTGGAAAAGAACCAAGATTTCTTTCCTTACAAGTCCGCTCTCCTGCCGCTGATGGTAAAGTTCGGACTAATAGTAAAGATACTAATGTCGGGAACCACTACAGAAAATGCAGAGTTCAGTAAGACGTACACCATTCCGAGCAAACTGATGGAGCTTCAAAGCATTGATGATATAACCAAAGAAGTCAGCATCTTTAAACAGAGAAACCTTGCTGTCTCCAAAACCTTATGCTTCGTGTTTAAAGATGTTTACGTCCCAGATGAACTTTTCCATAGAATCTTTGCCCAGATCATGAGAAGGTACAGAGCAGTGTCACTGTCAACAGACACTTTCTATGAGCGTGACCAGGTGACAGTAGGCAACACCACTTGTCTATATTTGGGCTTTGGATGTTTCAAAGTCGATGACCTTTGCAGAATGATCGTGTCCATGCACGCAGAGCGGTCAGCAATCGCTGTGACTGTGATCAGTCCAACAGAATCTCAGCTTCCCGCAGACTCTGGACAGCGTATTAGGCTCTCGATCGAACGAATTCTACTTGAGACGTTGCAAATGAGTAACCAGCAACACTTTGAGTACGCACATCAGCTGCACTGCAACTTCCACCTGAGTCCATACGACACCCCAGTACAGCTGTACGGCGTCATCCACTCAGAAAGGGGCGTGCCCTGTCAAGGCGGAGAATGCCTAGGCCAACACCGACTGTCCAGAACAGACACAACGTTTTGGAACATCACAGAGGTAATACACATTTTATATATTCTTCTGAATGTTTCATTTATTCTTTCAGAAAGCACACAACATTTATATTTGGTTCGTGAATTGTATCTTTAATATTGATATTCTGACACTATTTTTGTTTTTATTTAAAAAGATACAGGTGTTTTTCACCTTTTGGTGGGTTTTTTCTATATCTTTGTCAAAAAGCCACACTTTGTTTATCACCGTTTTAAGAAGTCAAATACCAGTCATTATTTATCAATATAGTACGGTAGTCTTTATCATTAATGTGACGTTATTTGTATTGTATTACTTGAATATTAAAAAAGGTGTATTTAAGGACTAAATATATTTATTCTTAGTAACGCTAAGCAATTTGTTTTAGGTTTCTGCATGGTTTCAAGGCAATGGGAATATCGCAGGTGAGAGTTCATGCTTATTGGCTAAAAGGTGGTAAGTAAATGACTTCAATATATCTTTGCAATGTTAGACTCGTTCATAACGTAAGTATACATGAGCTGAGGATATCAGAAAAAGATCACCAAACCCTCAAGTGTTTCATTCGTTGAAACGTCCTACATATACATGAATTTATGGTTAAGAAAGAAACTCGGAAGGTGTTCTAACAATTTGAATTAGCATCCGAGCTATTAAATGATTTAAATATAATACTCTGACGTCACCAATAAGTGTTTCGATTCCTGCAAAAATTCAGATATAAAAATATATCAACGCTCAATATATTGCAATGTCCTATGTCTCAAATTAAAAACAACTTTCCGTGCACCAATATTTTCTGGCGATCTCTTGATTGCTTTGTACAAGCATTTCTATTTTTCGAACTTATCCCAACTTTTTGGCACAGATTGCATAGTACTAGCACACAAAACCGGACTTATTTTGGGCGTTTAAAATACATCTGCTGATGCTATTTGAACTCTTCAATGTAAATAAAATGCATGCCTAAATATTTCTATAAATCGTGAACTGTGGACAAGTTTAAAGATTTAAAATATTGTTGTGAAGAGTTATCCGTTTTGGGTAGTGAGGTGAATGAATATTTTCAATTAACACATGCATCACAGCATACACCTTGTGGGACATTTAGTTGGCATGCAATTAGGGTCTCATCTCCGAAGAAAACATTTGTACAACATATAGGTGGACACTTTTTATTGTTTTAACTGTTATGGGCACATGCTCATAATGCTGCATATATCGGTTCATAACATTTTAATACTACTGCACGGAAACCGTGGTACCCAACCCATAATATGCTATAAACAACACTAGACAGAATACGTTGCAAAACACGAGTAAAGCTCAATGACAAAAGTATATTCAGCTATTTACAGGAACTCAACCTACAGAATAGCGGTGAATATAAAAGCAAAATAGCAACTGTGCTTTATTGTAAACGTGAGGCACGATGTGAGGAAAACTATTTTCAACCTGCTTTCTTTTTACTAGTCTGTCCTCTGTACACTAAAATCTAGTAACTGATGGCGAAGGTTTTGGACGAAAAATACATGTTCCTTCCAATGACGGCATTCTACATGTTTTCTAGTAGATAATACATTATACGAAAAGTAGAAACCTGACATTTTCAGTAATATTGATACATTATTAAACTCTATATACAATGTTTGATACAAAAACAAACATTGATTAACTTTACTGAAAGTATAGCATAACAAAAATAGTAATGGGTTTATTTTGTGTTTGTTATACCTGTTTTTACATTCAAATGAATCTTATGAGTAATAACTCCCAATATTGATAATTTAGGAACAACGGGGGTTGAACCGAATACCTCTGACAGGAGGCCGTCTCCTCGAGAACTTAGTCGTCTGTCCCGTCTAATCAACTCGTCTCACATTGAGCAGTTCTTTGTGGAGCTTGGGCTTCCTATTCTAGAAGTTGAGCATACAAAATGGGAGTGCCGCAACTTACTAGGAATCACCCTCATTACCAAGCTGTTCCTTAAATGGACAATCGCCTATCCGAATAAGACGATCCATGACATCCAACAAGCTATGGAGGCGGTTGATATGGCGACTGACCGTATCAACGACGCACTAGGAACAGATGAGGAATCCCAGGTTCAAGGTAAGAGGGTTATAACACAAAAGTATAGAACGTTTGATACACGAATATGCAAAATACTTAATGTTTCAAAACAGTATATCGAGATGATATTATCGAGGTTCATGTGTTATATACAATTTTACCTTGGCTATTTAAATGTAAAATGAATGCTAATATACCTAGCAATAAAACATAATCTCAATAGACTGACTTTTCTTCTTGTCTGGATGTTTGGTGATACCTGTAGTTGTGTACGTGTAATTTAAATAGATGACTGGCTTTTTCCATCTTTTTTATTTCCATGTGCTCAACTAGAGACATCAAATGATAAACTGACCTTTTATTCTGTTAAGGGATCTTAACATTTTAAGATAAAAGCTGAGCAACGGAAACAACTTTATTTTTAAATTATATATTAACCTATGATCGGTTCAATAAAAGTAGCAAGCTGAAATCTGCACACAAGACTTGGTTAACATTGCACAACTCTGCCTTCTGGTATTATTGTCGACGTCATTGAAACTTGTCATGTTCTTGGGTATGGTAAAAGATGATAACTTCAATTTCAAGATTGATTTTAAAAGTTTGCTGAATTCAGCAATTTATAACAAAGTTCTTTCCCGCAGATATGGTGCCATTTGAGGTTTGGAATAGAGTCCCATCTGAGGATGAAATAAGGAAAATCGTAAATTACATCGACAAAATGTACTTCAATATGTGCCTGGAGCTCGGATTGTCACCCCCAACTATAGCGCAATGTGAACTTTGTCATCCTACCGACTTCAGGACAAGAATGAGTGCTCTCCTTCGGTGTTGGATAGACAGATACCAGACAGAGGCAACCATAGGCAGGTTGCTGACAGCCATGAAGGTTTGTCAGATGGACTGGCATACAACAGCAACAATCTGGTCACCCTGATAAAGACGAAATATGTGATCTTGTGAAACTAATTCTTGTGATTCTGGATAAGAACACACCTGGTGATGTTTACTTTCTGATAACAAAGCTTTAATAGGACCATGGAAAAGAGTTTCACAGAAATGTTTCTATGAATTTCAGAGACCTAATATTTGACAGTTTAGACAAGGAAAATAATCGCTGGTGAACATTTTATTATTCAGGAGACCACTATATAGTGATTCGTAATAGTGCATATACCTTTCATCTCCAGGAATAAATATTTCGCGATTTTGCTCCGTGATCAAAACTCTATTGAAAAACATTATCGTATAGTCACAAATCTTATACTGAGACATCTTTCTATCAGCAGTGCAGAAAATTGAAAAGGTTCAATGTCCTTATACTATCATAGGAAGTTAATATTAATGAAATGTATGCACTATGTGATTTAAGATACTGAGGTATTTCTAACACATTCCTTTTTCTTTAATCGAAATACTTTCCGTGTAATTGAGTGAATTACAAAATTAACTGATTAGAGCACATGTTAAACTACCAACGTTAAGCGCATTTGTTTATTTGTCTTCATTAAAATCACTTTATTATTCACATGCTACCCTTTGAAATATAGTGATAACTCATCTGACCGTGTTCAACTTTGGTATAACTTTGAGCAAATAAAATTAACTTTATTCACTTTAACATGCATAATTCTCTCCTTACATCAAATCAAATGAGGGTGAACACATTTAACCATTGTTTACCATTCTGTATTGTTTCCTTAATATTTCATAGATAGTAATTCGTTTTCATTAGTGTACTGTATACGTTTGGGTGTTTTTTTTAACTCTAGGAATCTTTAAAAGTGTATACTTTTCAATTCATTTTTTTCTGATTTTGTTTTTACTTTAATGTTGAACATATGTGCACCAATATGCATAATTATGTTTATTATTTCTATGTTCATGTATATTTTACACGTTGTATTGAATGAGTGATTTTTTATTTCATGTTGATTATTAGAAGATGTAATCTGCGAACTCTTGGATTTGATAACAGCAGATGTGTATTGTCATAATATCCTAAACCAAAGTTAGCGTTTTTTGTCTTATGATCAACGTTCAGCACTATAATCAATGTATTTAAAGTAGTATCCCTATACACAGACTGTACATTACAGTAAACCTTATTTTCAGCACGCCCGTTGCTAAGAGTTTAAAAGACCTCACGATAATACCCTTATTGTATAATGTTAACATAACAATTCTTGATTAAATTTATACTGATGAAGATTTAGGATGCTGACTGGCGCGTACCAGAAAAGAAAATGTGCCCCAACTTAGGCTGGGATATTTTCTTTTGCTTTTATTTTGTTATCAGCGTTTTTCCTGAGCATTTCTTCCTTGCAATTTTACCTGAATACATCAAACTGTTCGGAGTTAATTTTGTAAATATGCGTGTTGTACTCTGCATGGCATGAAACTAGATACTTACTATTCAAGACGCGAGAAAATATCATTCTAGCCTCTCCCTCGTAGTACTATGT